CCCCCCCCCCCCCCCCCCCCCCCCCCCAGAGAGCGGCTGACATGTACGACAGTACCTTTTTTTTCTCTGTGCGAGACTAGACGCGGTGTGAGCCAGAACAACCAAGCATCTGGTAAGGGACCCGCATCCGCGCGCGTTGGTGCGTGTGCGACTTTGGGGACCTTTCGACGAGACGAACGTGACCGCCCACGTTTCGCGGTACCAGATCATTGGACTAACCGGACAAGACGGGAAGGCTGCTTGCCTTCCACTTCTTCTTTTTGGTAGCGAGGCATTTGATCGGTGAACACAGTACCATACATACAGACTCACTGGCGGCTGACCAAGCGGAGGAACATTCTGGGCGGGGACGTCTTTTCTTGGTTGGCATCCAGTCCAGAGTGGTAGCAGCAGCAGCCGGCGGCAGGAAAAGGCAGAATGAAGGGGCGGTGAATCAAGGGGGACAAAAAGAAAAGGACGACTCTGTGGCGACAAGCAAAAAGCAGGAGTTTCCTGATTGGAATGGATGCGCATACTGTGTGTGCGATGCGTGGTCATGCTTGGGTGTTGGCGACAGAGGTGATTGGATTGGCCATATGAAGTGTGCAGCAAGATGCAGGTACGGAGCCAGCTCCCGGACACGTTTTCTCTCTTTTTTTGGCCCACTCAGCTGTCCTTCGTGAGCCGAGGTTGTTTCGACATGGCCGTCTCCAGCAACGCCCCAGGCCAACCCAGTCAGCCCAATGACAAGCAAAAAGGGTCTGAGCGCATGAGGAAGGATCAATTGGACTGCAAAACGGTAGGAAATGTGGGGGAAAAGGACCAACAGACTGAATCAGCCATGCTCCAGTTTACGGATCCCCCATGTGTCGCCGCACATGACCATGGGCAAGGTCAAGCTCAAGGTCAGGTCAGGGTCGAGATGACGGCCGATGGGGGCAGGCATTCCCCCCTCAACTCGATCGAGACGGAGTCGATATCCCGTCATTTTATCAGCCTCTTCTTTTTGTTCTCTGCACATACATTACTCGCATCGTGGCCCGCATCAGGCTAGAGCGCCATCAGCCATCGTGGCTCGTAGCGGGTCCCTGTCATCATGACCATGTGGCCTAGCACGTTTAGCTGTCTCTCTAGCCTCAGCCTTTTTCTTGTCTTGGGTGCCCGCAAGACTAGAGATAGCTACTAGGTATAAACCAGAACGCTAGCATGGCTTGGCGACGCCATGGCTAGCGGAAGGATGACCATTCGAACTCGCGTGTTTGCTGTTTGCTTGCTGCAAGGCCAGGACAATAACCAGCAGCAACAATCAGCAGCAGAGCAGCCCGACCACCAGCTAGTTGTGCGCTGCCGAGACGGGTGATCCGGGGAAGGGCTTTCTGATCTGGCCGCCAAGGACGTATTTTCATCTCAACTTCGTTGTGGACAAGTGAACGTGCGTCCCCGGAAAACCGGGGACGGGCGGGTGGTGGAGAAAGCTCGTGGTGAAGCCCTCGCTCTCACTTCCCACGCTCTCTCTGCCTTTTCGTCAGCAAAACCCCACCCGTCTCTGTCAGATAGCGCAGCAGGGCCCCCGGAAATGAGACGGAGACCCTCCTTTCTCTCACCCCTGGCCGAAGGGAGCGGCGCGACTCTAGCAGGGCCAACCCCCTGGGACCTGCCTCCCTGCCTGTCCCATGTCCAGGACCCGTCACTGTCATCCCTTGCAGCATCCACTGCCGAAAAAGAAAAAGAAAAGAAAAAAGGAAATAAACGAGACGCTAGCGCAATAAAGAACAAGAAGGGGAAAAAAAAAAAGGAAAAAAAAACGAAACGAACAAGACCAAAGAGGGCCAGTGCCACCCATGCCCACCGTCGCCGTCTTGATCCCGTCCTTGGTCGATTAATTACCGGTGCCGGGACCGGCGTACGGTCCCATGTATTGCCTTTTCCACGGCTTGCCGACGCCCTCCCCTATCCACCGTCCCTCCTCACCTTGCGGGAGCGTGCAGCTTGTGCCCGCGCACCCCCCCCCCCCCATGAAGCCGGTGAGCAAGCGGCGGCATGCACGACGTGGGAGGAGATCAGCCGTTTTCCGTGCCCCCCTTTTTTGTGTCATGTTACTATTGTTGTTGTTGTTGTTGTTGTTGTCGTTGTTTTCGTTGTTTTCGCCCACGCACGCGCTTTGGCCTAGTCCGTCGACCATGTCATGTTGATGGACCGGGTTGATATTTTTTGCAAAGGCAGCAAGCGGTAAGCAACCAGCAGGATGTAGAAAAGCAGAAAAGTAAAATCGAAAGCAAATGAACAAGGCCGAGACCGAAAGAAGTATGTAGTCAGGCACGTTGGGTAACATGGGCGTATCCCCAGATACACGAAACACACACACACACAGACACAAACGCACTATACACTATACGCCACACAAGTCGGCCCCGGTGCAAGGCCGCTAGGACCCCCGAAGCACTGTGCTACTATGAATAGCCACGATGTTGAGGGCATGGGGAACGCGGACGGTGTTCGTGCCCGTCCGGGCCAACCCTCCCACTCTCTTGGAGCCCCGTTCGTCTGGCCATTGCCGATCAGCCTAGGTATGGACAGGCCCTTGGGATCGAAGCTTGCCTTCACCTCTGTCCTCGATTCGGCAGGCAGTAACCACCAAAAACTCCACCTGCCGAGGGCGCTTCTGAGTGACAATATCTGAAAAATACCCGTTTTTCCCTTCTCGCTTGTCCCAACCGAAAGCGCCCCGCGTGACAATACCTTCTTTTTATCCATTTTTGTGTGTCCTGCCCCCTTGCCAGATGCGAGTGTGAATCGGGCAATTCGGAACGTGAGCAGCACGGGCTTCCGGCTTCTCACGTCCTGATCTAGAGCTTCCACTCCACAGAGCCCCCATCCCGTTGGGCACGAAAACGACCCTGCCGACGGCGCTTACCTAGGTAGGTGGCTTGCATGCATTGATAAGATTAAAACGAGGTGATCGGCTGCTGTTTCCCCCCCACTGCCTTTGATACAAAAGCGGGTGGGGGTGGGAACGGTGGGTGATGCGATGCGATGCGATGCGATGCGATGCGATGCGATGCGGAAGCTCTGCAAGGACAAGGTCAAGGTCGTTAAACAGACACATCACAGCAACACCCCCGTCTCGACAACAAGGCGCAGCAGCTGCCCGTGCCGGGCTTTATTAGGGAGCAAGGAAGGTGGGAGGAAGTCAGGAGCGGGAGAGAGAGAGAAAAGTATAGTACACCGGGTTCGCGTGGCTCCCTCCTCCTTGCATTCTGCCGAGCCGTTCACAAAATTTACGAAAAGCCGTTTTTTACGTTTGCTCGCCTGCCCTGCCGAGAGGGTGACCCTGGTTTCGTCTATTTTTTTTGTTTTTTTTTACCTTGCGGGCGAGCTATCTACGGACTAGCCTGGCTCGTTTTTGTTCGGAAGCGAGCGGCGTTCTGCAGGAGGCGGCTGGGGGTTGGCCCACCGAAATTGACGTGCCTGAGAAAGAAAAGGGATGATTAAGAAAGGGGGGCCATGGCCATGGTTCAAGAGCAAGGGGAGAGGGAGAAAAAAAGAAAAGAAAAAAGAAAAAAGAAAAAAGAAAAAAAAAAGAAAAAAAAAGAGAGAAAACACGAGTTTGGTGAAATAACACTAAAAGGAAAGAAGCAGTGTGGAGGTGAGGGGAAAGGGTGGCGAGGGGGCCAAAGGGGAAGCAACAAAGGACGACGGGCTGCCAATGTGCAATGAAATGAGGACCTCCTTATCCCGAAAAAAAAAAAAAAAAAAACCTCTCAGCCGCTGGGTGGATTGGATTGCCTTGGAGACGGCACTTGCACACACACACACACACACACCCTGCATGCATTACGTTTCGCAGATGCGGCGCCGCAGTAGACTTGTGTGTGCGATGCATTGCCCGCACAAGGGCGGGAGGGCCACACATCCACACATATTCATGGATATCAATCATCTTCTCCAAATGGCCGGCCTCTGCAGCACAAAGCAACAAGCAAGTTGGCTGACCGCTTCGTTATGCGATGAGCGGTTCACCTAGGCGGGCGGGCATATCTGAGGCATAGTCGAGAAAGTCTGCGTGCTGCGTGTGTGTGTACCCGCATCCGGATACATGTATGCACCTGCATGGACCTGCCGAGGTAGGTACCTACCAGGCTGGGCTGATCTGCAGACGGGATATCGCTCGTTTATGCTGGCGAGAGAGTCCCCTCCCCAACCACAGCTCAACGAACGTTTCCAAGCGTCTTTGCTCGCTGGCAACCCCGTTTGATGTCGATCGAAGCGCGGCGGGACAGCAACCCACCTACCTACCTATCCATCAACCGTGCGGGTCCGGAACAACCCCCCGGTCACATCTCACATTTCGTCTTGGGGGGGGAGAGAGCTGTGTTCTTTTGCGCTTTGGCCTTCACCATGGGTTTGACTCCTCAGCCGTTTTGTTCGGCGGGGGGTGGGGGTGGAGACACCCTTTTTGCAGGCGTGGCAGGATAGCTCGGCACTAACAGAGAGAGCGAGGTGTGGTGCCGCTGCTGCCCAGCCCTCAATTCGATACAGGCATCGCTTTGCGGAGAGAGTCGACGTCGGCAAAGGGAGCCTCCTATCTGGAAGCTTACCTGGAAACCCGCGGACACCATCCAGAGAGATCAGACGACGCCTGGAATGCCCGGCTCGCTAGCCAGCCTACTCCTGCTTGTGTTATTCCGGGGCACAGGCACGACTACAAACAGAGGGCCGGCATATTGCGCCGTGTCACAAGGAAGGCACAGAGCATGCAAGGAGCCACCGGACTGGTTGCAGGAGGGAGGATCGTGTTCCCGGTTCTGGTGCCTTCGTTTTGGTTGAACCAACCGTCTTTGGCTGTCAGACCAGGGAAGTGCGTGCGGGCTGACAGACATACAGACAGACAGAGAGAAAGACAGACAGGCAGGCAGGCAGTCCACCCAGGTCCTAAAGCCGAAGCAGCGGCTCCAACGTCCAACACTAACAAACAACGCGCTCAACGCGGGTCAGCGGCGCAGCAGTTCATACCATAGCGTACTAACGCAAGGGTGGCGGGCAAGAGGTTGCATTGGGGTCAGGTTTCGCATGGAATGGTCAGGTTTGGAGGCAGGTGGTAGGTTGTCACCTCCAGGCGGGTACGTACCACCTACGCCCAGGCTGGGTACTTTTGTAGGTACGGCACCACGGCCGCACACTGGTTTGATGGGTGGCTGCACTTCGGGGCAGAGACGGAACCGAGAAGCTGGAGACCCGTGGACCCAGGGCCTGGTACCCACCTACCTACATGCCACGCCGCCGTGCCTGCCTCAAGCCAGTCTGGTACCTGACAGGACGGGGCGGATGTGAGATGATGGATGGCGGCGGCGGCGGCGCATTGCATCCATCACTCGCTACCGTCGAAACCCCGCCCGCATTCCAGTCTCCCTCTGACCCCAACGACTTGATCATGGCGGCGTCTTGCGACAGTAGCACGTACATCAAAGTAGCAGTGAGCACGCTGGCGGCGGCGAGTAATGTCTGGGCTTGTCGTCCGTGTTCGGCACGCTTCGGTCATTGCCTTCGGGATTTGAACGCGGGACCCTGTCTCTCTGTCTCTCTGCTGGAGCCCAGTCACCCCGCCTGCTTGTCTGGGCCAAGGTGAGACGGGGGAGGAGAGTATTGAGAGACAGGTACCGTGTAAAAAAGGACTGGCGACAGGAGCCGCCTCGTGGGATTGGGCCCCGTCGAAAAAAGTCGCGTAAAGGGCGCTCACTCGCTGCCCGGCAGGCACCAGGGTCCAGCTCTCCACAAGCTGCTGCGGGGCAGGAGAAGGGAGAGAGATGGATGGATGGAGATGGAGACAGGGGCCGGCTGCATGCATTGCAAATCTTTATGCACCTGACCTCGATGTGCAGCGTAGTGCACGTGCAGTTCGTGGTGCCCATTCGCCAATTGTTCCTTCCTGTGTGCAGCGACGCAATGGGGCTCGCTGCCCGCGGCCCGTGGTTACAGCAACCAGAGCCAGCGGCAGCGGCAGTAGCAGTGAAGGAGGCTCATCATGTTCCAATCGACAGCCCACACCCGCCGCGTCCACACCACGCCTACACCCACACGCACACCCCCGGCTCTTTCCAATCTGCCCGACTGGCATGGGTGTACCCTTGGCCTGACTTGTAATCCTGGCGCCCTGGCCCTGGCGCCAGGGGTTTGCCCAGCGGGTTCGCAAACCCCCAACCCAGAGTGGGGAAAGCAGTAGAAAAGATGGAAAGAAAGGTGAAGGAGGGAAAATAGGGTGGACAGAAACGCCCTAGCAGGAAAAAAAGAAAAGAAAAAAAAAGCACAGGCACCGAGAGACCATTAGCATCGCCGAGTGGCGGCGCTACCGCCTCCTGCTGGTGCTGAATCCGCTGTGCGCTACGCCTGGTTAGTAGCCCGGCTTTTGGTGGTGGCAGTATGGAAAGCGGCTACACGTCCGGGTGGTAGGGGTGGGCTTGTGAGAGGCTGCGTGGTTTGTGCTGCATGAGCAGGGGTAGCGACTTCTCTTTTCGATTTTCCTTCTTTTTTTTTTTTTTTTTTTTAATACTCTTTTGTTTTTATCCAGTCTTCTGTCCCTGCCCTCATTAATCTCGCTCGCTGCAAGGACTCCACCGCTGCGGTCTTCAATTCCTGAAGCTTGCCTGCCCGTGGCGTGGGCTTTATTCTCCCTGGCCCTATCACTTGATCCTATCGACCGTCTTCCTTTTCTTGTGTCGTGCTCGCCCTTCGCCTGGCCTTTTGCCTCCTACGACGTCTGGACTGGAAAGTTTGGCCTGCCATTTCTCCTTGTTTGTTTTTGCGGGCCGCTTCGTTGTCGTGGCTGGGCTTTAGGGTCGTTTTTTTTTCTCCCGTTGTTTCTTTGGCGGGACGAGAGCTGAGTCCGTTTCGGCAGCACCCCCTTTTGCGACCTTGTCGAAACGCCCTCCTCGCCTGGCTCCACCATGTCTTTCTTTAATGCCAGATACTCCCCTCACCTTTACTAAGTCGCCGTAGCCTCCTCTGCTCGACATCGTGCCCTGACTCCGGGCCCGACTCTTTGTCGTTGCTTCTTTCTTGCACGCCCGCTTCTGCTCCCGAGATATCCAACATGGAGGGCATCCTGGCCGTCCCGCCAGATCGCGGCACCATCATTGGCCGCGCGCTGTGGAAGGTGCGTTTGCGTGGGAGAAAAAAAAAAAGTCGGCTGCGCTGCGGCTCTTGCTGGAAGCGCATTGGGGCGAGATCGGATCTCGCGGGCGGGCGCTGACCAAACCTGACTCTGCCGCAGACTCGATTCGTTGTCGTTGGCCCCCAAAAGAGGGAGCAGTCCGGCGCAACCTCGACCTGGCGCATTCTGACCCCCAGGGACTCGCCCGGAAATCCGGCCACCACATATCTGTCCATCTACAAGTCTAGGGTGCGTCCATATCTCGGCTCGGGCTTGCGCTGCGTCTTTGGCCCGGCGCTCATGGCTTTTCTGTTTTTACTGACGCCTTGCCTTGTCCGGACTCTTAGTCGGAGCTCGAGCCGACCCTGCAATACCACATCGGCTCCGTTACGGACTGCCAGGTCCAGATGATCGCCCACCGAAAACAAGGCCCGGTCCTCCCGACTCTGGTGGTGACGTTTGCCCCTGACCCGGCCACAGACAAACTGCGCAAGCGCCGCTCGAGCCGCGCCGCCGGCCTGACCAGCAGCAGCAAAGACACCCCGCTCAACACGCTGTGGTTCCGCACCGGCGCCGAGGATGGGACCAGCCTGCAGGACTGGGCCAGGTGCATCCAGCTGCACATGCAACGGCCGTTGCCGCAGCCCCAGTACGCCCATGGCTCGGTTCCCATGAGCCCCGTCACCCCGGCCTCGCCCACATTCGCGAACCCCTTCGCCTCATCCCGCCCCCGCGACCAGTCCGATTTGTACACGCGGCCGCCTAGCGGCAACGTCCCGAGCTCCAGCAGTCGCGGGACACTCCAACACAAAGGCTCGACTCAGGCGAGCCGGGACCGGCCCATTACGTACTCGGGCTCGCCGAGCCTGCGCTCTAAACGCAGCGACATCTCGTCGCACGCTGGCGTCATGAACCACATGCAGCAGGCGGCCTACGCCACCCACTATGGCTCCATGCACACGGCCGATCTTCCCTCTCCCGCAACCACGATTGGGGATTACCAGGGTGATTTCATCGAGGGCTGGACCACGGCGCAGGGGCGGTCGTCGGCGCTCAGCTCCCCAATCCGCGGTCGCGAGAGCGTCGGCTCGGCCGTCTCCCCGCTGTCGGCGGGACTCGATGCCACCCTCGAGTCGAGCTCGCCACCTATACCGCGCGAGACGATACTAGATAGGGCCTTTCAGCTGCGCTGCATTCCCGGCTCCGAGGCGGAGACGCCTGGGGAGGAGAAGCTGACGTCGCTCGCCAGGTTTGAGGCGCTGATGAAGGGCATGGACAGGAAACGTAGCCAGCGGGAGTCGGGAACTAGCCAGGCGACGGCGCAGACACCGACAGACCTGGGTCTGAGGGGCGCCTGGGACTCGGATGAGGACTCGGATGAGGACGACGACGTGAACGATTACGGGGACCCCGAACCGAACCACCGGCTCGCGGCCAGCGGTTGCGGACACCGCCACGGGTCTCTGAACTCGCCTCGACACGGCGGCCGCAGCCACAGCTACAGCCAGAGCCAGAGCGGGTTCGCGCACGAGGAGGACATCGCCGAGGAGGACGTGTCGATGCCGGCCGGCGCCCAGCGTGCGCTTGAGTTTATCACGACGGGTCGCTCGTCGCCGGCCCTGTCGGCCATGCGCTCGGCCGCCAGCCCGAGAAGTCCGCGGAGCCCGACGGGCGAGTTCCCTCAGTACAGCAATCCTGCCAGCAATCTGCTACCTCCAATGAACAACAGTGGGTCCTCTCAACTCCGGCCGGACCTAGGTCCCAGCAAAGAATCCTGGATTGCTCAACAGACTGCGTACAATAGACCACTTCAGGTAGCGGCCTCGGGTGATACCCTCCGCAGCAGCCCTGCCCAGCAGTCGGCGGCCGGCTCCCACGTGGCGAACACGGTGGCGCCGCCGCCACGTATGCGCACCGCCCCACCGGCAGCCTCTGGCAAGCCGCAGCCGGAGCAGCACGAGCCCATGTCCTCGCAGCTCTCGCTTGCGTCGCGCCGCCCCGCCGTTGTGGAGAAGAGACTGTCGGGACAGAGCCTGAAGCGACTGAGCATCACGGAGCTCACCAAGCGGCTCAGTGCCAGCAGCCTGTGTATGGTGCAGACGAACGCCAGCAGCAGCAGTGATGGGGACTCCCAGAAGCAGCAGCAACAGACGCAATCTTCCTCCCTCAGAGGAAGAGGTGGCATGGTTCCACCTCCCGGCCCAGCCGACCGAGACAGGTGTGGGTGGCGCGGAAAATTTGGCGTCGACGGTGGCTTCCTGTGATTCGCCGTCGGGCACGTGTCCACCCCTCCTCTCTTTGAGCAACAAGGCTGCTTGTTCCCTATAGCTTGCCCACCGGCATCATTCTGGCACTTTCGACTCTACTCTCCCACGACGACCTCCATCTTCTCATAGCGACCAAGATATACCGGATTGGACGCCGGAACGCTCTCGACATTTACCAACATGCGCGCTCGCCGAGTCCTCGGCAAGACTATGATCCTATCTGACGTGTTTTGAAGATGGTCCTTATCCACTCTGACCTACTCCTGCCTGACGGGGAGTGGTTTCCGTCGCTTGTTTTGATATACCCCACTTCTCGTTTTGTCCATCTTTTCGCCTGTTTCTTCGTTTGTCTAAACCGAGCTTCACATTGCATTTCAATCACGACTGAATGACATTTCCTTTTGTCTTACACCACCTATGCGCTAGGGAGGCACGGTTGGTTTTTTATGTCTGTTTCTTCTAAAAGCTCATCTGCTGCTAATCCCGCGCTTATGTTTAAAAGCCGTTAATATCTTGCTGAGACTTTTTGATACACGGAAAAAGGTCAGGGGAGAGGGGATGGTGGCCCACAACACAAACCACGACTTTACATACGTCCTTTGTTCTTTCTTTTACATCGTACCATTTACCACGAGACTAGATACCGCTTCGTGACTTTAAATAGGGAGGGGAGTGTAACGATATAGCTGATGATTGTAGTGAAGATGTTGACATTTGAGATGCGGATGCTGTTCATATAATGCGAGTGGCTTTCTCATTTCTGTAATTCTCTTACCATATGACTCACCAAATACCTGCAGTTTTGTATACATGACACTTTCGTCATGTTGAGGCTTGCGTATTTTGATGCAGTGTCAAAATTCAGGTGACAGTTGTTGGGCCTGAAAAACGACGCATTTACAAACGGAAACGACATCCCACCTGACGTCAACGGGCGAATCCAACCTACCCACCACCACAAATTCACCACCAACGTCACACAGGGCAAGCAAACCAAAAACACTCACAACCGAGAAATCAACCGTCTACAAACAGCGACAAGCCAAAAGAAAGAAGAGAAAAAGAAAGACAAGAAACATGGCGGCGACGTCCCGCCCGCCCACGCGCGTGCCGACGCGCGAAGACTTTGCGCCGCTGACGCGCGACGGCCGGCTCGCGGTGCAGCTGCACTTCCCGTCGCCGCCCGAGTCGACGACGGCGATCCTGGTGCTGCTGCACGGGCTGGGCGACTCGGAGGCGCCCTTTGCCGGCTTCGCGCGGGCCGTCGACCTGCCCGGCGTCCTGGCCATCGCGGTCCGCGGCGTCAGCCCGCTGCCGCCGGCCATGCTGGGCCTCCCCGACGACGACCCGGAGGCACAGCAGCAGCAGCAGCCGACGAGGCACTTCCACTGGGGCGACGACCTGCGGCTGGACGGGGACCGGCTGGACCCGGACCCCGGGTTCGACGCGGCCGAGGACGCGCTGCTGCGCCGGCTGGTGGTCGGGGTTCTGGGGGACCGGTGCGGGTGGGACGCCGAGGACGTGCTGCTGTTTGGGTTCGGGCAGGGCGGGAGCGTGGCGCTGGGGCTGGCGTCGCGGCTGCGCGCGTCTGGTGGTGGTGGTGGTGGTGGTGGTGGTGGTGGTGATGGCAGCAACAGGAGGAACGCGCGGTTCAAGGGCGTCGTGTCCATCGGCGGGCCGCTGCCGCGTTCCATGGTGCCGACGGTCAGCGATCGCGCCAAGGCGGCGACGCCGGCGCTGCTGTGCCGCGCGAGGCGGAGCGAGGGGCTCGACGACGACGCGGTCGAGGCGGTCAAGGGCGAGTTCGAGACGGTCGAGGTGGCCGAGTGGAAAGACAAGACCGAGGACGGCATGCCGGCGTCGAGGGAGGAGATGATGCCCATCATGCGCTTCTTTGCCGACCGGCTGGGGGACGGGGGCGGACTTGGGACTTAGGGGGAGTTGGTGGGTGGTGGGGATTCGTACGGGGTGTTCCTGTCCTGGGTGTCGCTCTCGGGCTCGTGTGTCTTACGCTTAAGGACCTATGCTGCCGAGGGGCGTCGAGCTGGGCCTACCCTGGATATAGAGGAGATCTCTTTTCGGCATGTATTTTCCCACACGTCAGGCGTGCTATACACCCCTCCAACACACTACATCTTCATGCGAAAGTGATCATTCAAAGGGGAGGGGTACTGTAGCATTAAATGGATAGCAGAACGAACTCGGTCGAGACATGCACATTAAAACACACGAGAAGCCTATGGATTTCCTCAAGATAACCTTCACCCTCGAAAAAAAAAAAAAAAAAAAAAAACGCAATATAGGAGAACCACCTAGAAATAGCTACAGCTTGGATTCTGGCTTGTCGTCCGCAGCGGCCTTTGCCTCAGCCTCGGTCCCGGGAGCCTCAGCCGCGCCCTCACCCTGAGCCTCACCCTCGGCAGCAGCCTGCGCCTGCGTCCCCACAGTAGCAGCAGCAGCGGCAGCAGCCACCGCCGGCACCTCGTCGACCCTGGCCAGCACCCACTCGATGACGTGGCCAAAGTACACGTCCCTCTCTGGCTCCGCGTGCAGCTGGTGGTACCACCCGTCGTACGTGCGGAACGTCTTGTCCGCCAGCGCCGTCTGCGCGCCGAACCAGGCGCTCGAGAAGGCGTAGCCCGTCGCCTTGTCGGCCGTCCCGTGGCCGAGCCACAGGCCCCTCACGACGGACGGGTCGATGCGGACGGCGTTGCGGACGAGCGCGTCGGTGCGGTCCAGCAGCGCCGCGAGCCCCTCGAGCGTGCCCGTGTCGTGGCACAGCTCGTCGGCCCGCAGGACCTCGACGGTGGCCGGGTCGCGCGTCAGGTCCTCGGGCGCGAACCGGTGCACCATCTGGCGGCGCGGCAGAACGCGGGCGGCCAGCCGGCCGGCGCGGATCTTGAGCGCGCTCGGCTCCGCGCCGGGGGCCCAGCCGAGAAAGGGCGCCTCGAGGACCCAGCCGCGCACGCGCGAGGCGGTGGCGCGGTGGCCCGGGTCGCCGGCCAGCGCCAGCACCTCGCCGCCGCCCATGCTGTGGCCCAGCACGAAGACGGGGGGTTCCGAGGAGGAGGACGAGGAGGAAGAAGAGGGAAGGTGCGAGTCGACAAAGGCGGCAATGTCGGACACGACCTGCGCCGTGCCGCCCGTCAGGCCCTTGTCGGACGGCTTCCGCACCGACCTGCCCCAGCCGCGCTGGTCGAAGCCAAAGACGCCGATGGCGGCGGCGGCGAGGGCCGAGCCGAAGGCGTCGTACAGGCCGCAGTGGTCCGAGAAGCCGTGCACCAGGATAAGCTTGGCCTTGATTGCGCCATCGTCGGGCTGTTTTTCGGGGTGGGTGTGTGTGTGTGTGTGGTGGGTTAGTCTCGGTTGCATGACAGCTGTGCGTTAGGGGCCAATGACACTTACAAGCCAGGTCCGCGTGTATAGGTCCAGGTCCCCAATCTTGAAGGTGCCCTCTGTTATCTTGACCATGTTGGCGGCTGTTGTATCTGGTCGGTGGCTTCCAAAAAAAAAAAAGTATGTGTTGGAAACAAAGAGCTGCTAGTAAAAGGCCAGCAAAAAGTCGGCGTGGTCGCGTCTCGGTAGCACCAATAATGGATGGCGGGCGGGCGGGTAGTGGCCTGAGCGACCCAAAGGCGGTGCTTGGCCAAGACGAGAAATTGAGGCTGGCTATGCGTCGACAACCTCAGCCACTGGGTTCGAACTACACTACACCTCGCATTTGGCTTTCCTGCGCCTTGCCAAACGCGGCATGGCTTCACATGTCAAGCACGGACGGCAAACAAAGGCCGGGTTCCCCCTGCCAGCGCTGACGGGGATTAAAAAGGGGTCTACTTGGGGAAGACGACAAGCGTGATTGCGGTGCCCCACGTCCAGCTCCCACCAAGAGAAAGCACGGAATTGCCGTCACTCCATCTCAAGTGCCGTTCTT